GGGGGGGGGGGGGGCGATGAAGGTAGGAAAGAGATCCCAAGAGTTCAGTATCATCTTACCGGCTCAGATCTCAGCTTACAGGCAGCCATTGGCCTCCTGTCTTACCTGGCGATTTTGTGTGTGTGCGTGCGTGTGTGGAGTTTAGGGTTTCAGAGAGAAGACAGGTAGGTGTGTGTGTGTGTGTGTGTGTGAGTGTGTGAGTGAGAGAGCACAGCAGGACTCCCTACAGACTGCCCCCCCTCCTCCTCCTCCCTCTTTCTTTTGAATATTTGAGCCGCAGTGCTTTTCTTTGTTGTAACACTTTTGATGTATTTGGAGGTGCTGAATGTCCGTGGGTGAAACTGTACTGTTTGCACTCATTTCATCCATATCGAACAGATGAACACTGTTATGTGTCAGGGGCTGTTTCTCTGAGGCTTTTCTGTGAAACTTCATAGAGGATTTTATGGTTTTCAATCTGATGTGATACTTTCACATAACAGGAAATACTATATATATAACTGAAACTTGCTGCCAGTATAATATGCATCCATGTAGTATTTAATTATGATAATATATTCATCAGTACTGAAACTATTATTCAATTGATAGATTCACTGATGGACAACAAGAAAAACATTTCCGGGAGTGGTTTTTTAGCCTTTATTAGACAGCAAAGGTCAGCAAAGCTAGCCAATCGGTGGCATGTGGTAGCTTGACCAATGACACACTAGCAATTAATGTGCAAGATAGTTTTGGTGCCCTCTCACCCACATGCCAAGAGACCTCTTTTGCAGCCATTGTGCTCCCTGCCTCATGGCTGTGTATATGATTTTAACTTGCATGTTCCCTTTGGATAGAAAACAAATACACAATCTGTTGGAGATTTAAAATGTGATGTGGTGTTATAATTCAATTTAGTGTTAATCATAATGTTGATATGGCACAGTGATTAATAAGAAAATTTAAAAATGGCACTTAATTTAAAAAAAGTTGCAGACAAATGGAGTAAATATGGGGGGGGGTATGACATGCAAATAATTTTGTTCATACGTTTCCTCCCTTCCTGCCTAAAAACTCAACACCACCACAGTCTGTAAAGCTGGTATAACTTTTTAAAATGCAAGCACACATAAATGTAAACAGATTTGGTTCTTGTCTGTTGCTTTATGCTCTAGAGAGGGCTCATACATTAAAAACATTGGCCACAACTTTTCAATCTGCAATAACAATGGTGCCAGTCATTTCTGTGGCTTCAAAGGTTGGACTTCTGGTCTTTTTTTCTTCCTCTTTGTTTTTTCCTTGGTTTGTTTCAATTGATGAACTCGGTTTCCTTCTACATCCTACCTTTACAGATGCAAATGAGTGTGCAGGAAAGCCCTGTGTGAACGCTAACTCTTGCAAAAATTTGATTGGTGGATATCACTGCGTCTGTTTTCGGGGATGGTCCGGACAAAACTGTGACATCAGTCAGTATTTCTTTATTAAAAGTCACCTTTAAATGTCTGTCCTTCCACTGGCCTCCTCTTCTTCTGGCTACTTACAAACACTTCTGGACTACAACATAGGTGTGGTTAAGTGTAACTCACTTTCTCCACATGTGGTAACCTGTTTCTTTCTCATCTTGGCAAACTGAAGCTCCACCTTTGCCATCATGACTGAACTTGCATGCCCAGTTCCCCTCTCTGGATCCAATGCATGCGCAGTTACAGTTTAAACAAGGTCTATCCGGCCTTCTCTTGGCTTCACTAGTATTTCTTTTTCAAACTTTGACCTAATCTGTGCACATCCCACATTGTAGATTACGCCTAATAATGGATAAATGGCCCAAAAATGTATTTCTATATGGCAAAGCAATATAAATATTTAATGTTCATAAAATTTAACAATAAGTATTTCTTCCCCTTTAGACATCAGTGGCTGCCATGGTCAGTGTCAGAATGGAGCAACATGCAAGGTATGGATGTTTTTATGTAATCTATATTCCACTTTGTGCCGCTGCACATACATGAACCAAAATATGTGCTTGGAGACGTCCACACTTCATTCTCTTTCTTTTTCTTTGTGTTTTCTTTAGGAGGGCCCGAGAAGTTACCACTGCCAGTGTCCTCCAGGTTTTGTGGGCACTCACTGTGAAATCCAGAGGAATAAGTGTGACAGCAGACCATGCCAGAACGGCGGCCAGTGTCACTCAGTGTTGGGTGGCTTTGTGTGTCAGTGCCCAACAGAGTTTGCTGGACAGCTGTGTGAGGTGAGTCTCATGTTCCACAGGTCACAGCGCTGGATTATTGTGGAGGCAATGACAGTTGAGCTGGTGGTAGCTTCTTTTTTATTTTTTTATTTAGATAAGTAAGTTATGCATCACATGTCTGAGTACCTTTTAGACTTAGCACTTATTAACACGTTGTGGCAAAGAAATACAGACAAGAAACATCTTTTGACTAAAAGTGACCAACAGCATGTAGGATTTCGGATTTCTTCTCAGTTTATGTATTTGTAGGAACTTTTGTGCAGCAGATTATTACCTGTTAGAGACAAAATTGACCTCATGCAACATTTTTGTACTCTATCCTAAACCTCTCTTACTTTTTTTTTTCCTGTGAGGTTTGCTTATAAAGGGCTCCAGAATATTATACACTAGGTGGTGGTACACTGTGCAGCAGAAGCCATGGCAAAACATGCCAATAACATCAATCTAAAAAGAATGTTGTTGAAACTCTGGGCAGGCCGGATGATGATATGGTGAAAAAAAACACTTACTTGACAGCCAAAGTGGCTTGTAATGCTGTGCAAATAGACAAACTGCAGTAGTCATTACAACACAGTGATCTAAGCCAACTGTCCATTGCATGGTGCCAAATTATTGCTATGATCTGCCTGAACGTTGTGTAGTAAGCTCAATAGGTCAAGATCCGGTTTCATTGCAGACTTTTGTTATTGATTATTGAACTATTTTTGATTGTATTGTTACATATCAGTGTCCTTGTCGCAGCCTTTTATATTTGAAGTGTGTGTTTGAAGCAAATGTAGGTTAGCAGTGAGGAAACTGACACTTCACTGCATCTCTTGGGCCCTGAATGGAGGACATTGCTGGTCAGGAGCCAGTCCTCTTTTAGCATCTCTACTATAAATATGAGCCTCTCTGAATGAGGTGGCGCTGGATTTCTGCCCGCATACTACAGAGCTCTGATGCCCGCTATGGCACGGTGTACATTCCTGCCCTGCAGTGCCAAAACTACAACGCCTCCAGCATCATATTTCTCTGATTAGTATCTTCTCTCTAGTCTATGAAGGTTTGGTTGTGTAATAATGTTTTTGCCCATTCCTGATCTGAATGATTTCTTCATAAGTAATAAGGAAGGTTTGAATCCCAGAGGAATTGCTTAAATAAAAAAAACTCTTAGTAGGTAACATGCTTGTCTTGATTATGCAATACCAGTTTATGAATTTGAAGTCGTTTATGTCCCATATATGATTTTACTGGGGGAGTCGACCCAAAAAAGATTTGTTTCGGTCGGTGGGTGGGTCAACCGCATTTGCTCTGACTAAAATATCTCAACAACTATTGAATGGATTTTGCTGCTTGGTTCAAACATTCATTATCCCCAGGTGATGTATCTACATTAAGTTGGTAATCACTTGACTTCCTCCAGTGCCACCAGCCGGTTGACATTTTGATTAAAATATCTCAAATTGGGTACAGACACTCACATTCCTCTTAATTTAGATCACCAGATCCAAGTCTTAATTTGTTCAATAGTTTGGTGTTATGATCAAATGCAAAACTAATTGCATTCTCATCAGTATCAGCTGTATTTTTTGTATAGTGCTAATTGGCTTACTTTAACATGCTAAACGCTAAAATTAAAATTACATTCTGGTCAGGCCTTTTTATCTTCACTGAATAACATTATGTTTTAAGGGGTCCAGAAAACAATCTCTCTGAAAGGTTTATTTTGTAGCTGTTATGGAGTTTTTAAATACGTCACATGAATCTTCATCAGCAAATGGAGTGACAAGAAGTTCTAAAATGCCTCACATGGAAATGTGAAAATTTATCTGATTAAAGTTAAAAACAACTGGGCATCTCTATCTGCTGATGAAAATTCTGCTTTATGATCAAGTTCTCTAGAATAACTATGAAATGGACCTCATGACAACGTGTCAAGATTGAAATTTGAACTTGTGTTGTCAGCTCTTTTCAAAGCCAATAAAGGCATAAAAAAGATTTGTTGTATGCATGACATCAGTTTAAAATGGACCAGAATTAAAAGACTTGATGAAAAAAACAAAGCACAACTAAGAAGCTCCAATATGCATTTAGTTGTTTAAATGGGCAATATTTGAGAATGTAGTTAATGATTTTCACTTAATAATAATTTTTTTCTAAATATCCTGCAGTATTTGTTTTGTAAAAGACAAGTAAAAAAGTCAGTTTTATTGCAGAATAGGTTTGTATGGTTTACCACAAGTAAATTATATGCCGTTGCCTTGTGGTGTAAATACATTCTCAACCTGTCTGCTACAATGAAATCATGCTGTGAACAGTGCAAGCAGTTACATTAATGTGCAGAAGATTTATAGCCACTCTTACCCTCAGACACGATCCCCTGACCACACACGTGCAAATGGTAAAGAAAAAATGTATCTGGCCCCAACACTTAGGGTAAAATAAACTGTGTGTGACCACAGACTTCACCCACCCTGTTCCCCTACTCTTAACTCCCTTGTTTAGCACCTTAAATGGCAAAGGGGTTCAACCCAGAGTTTATGCACAGTAGGTTTCTGTTTACATAAACTGAGCAATTTTCACTCCAACCTCTTTATTGCATGTAGAATTGGCAAAAGATGTCACCATGGCCTCTACTTGGGTTCTTTCTGTGTCACGGTGGTATGACAAATGATTTATCTTTATTATATTCACCGTGGCTCTGCATGATGTTGGACCAGAGTCAACATTTGCCCTCATAATGAGCTATCTGTCTCTTGTCAGCTCAGTTTCTCACTCTCTTTCCTGCCAGGTTTCTGTCTCAGAATAATCTTGCAAGATTAAGCAGGGCAGAGATGTAAAACCAAAAGCGTGGATTCCCTTGATGAGCTTAGGGAAAGTTTGTGAGGCTTACTTTGCTCGTTCCACTTGCCTTTGATTTGTTCTGAACAGCAGCGGTGGGTTGAGCCAAGCTAAGCCACTCACCTACACAGACTTTCGATCTGCTTTCTCCATTGCTCGTCTCACTTCACTTGCGTCTTGTTTTGCTAATCACCAAATAACCATTTTGGTGAGGTGATGATGTTTGGTAAATTAAGTTAGTGTGACAGCTGTAGTCCACAAATTACAGAAGCAGGGTTGTGGCCGATGATCAGTCTATATTGAAAGGCTCTCACCTTCCACAATTGCTGTCAGAGTGCCCTTTGGCAAGCCTCTGTACCCCCATCTGATCTAGTGGAGCTGCTCAATGGCAGCAGAGGGCCGTAGTTGTCTGCAAGCACTCGTAGATGAGTGTGTTGGTGCTGTTATCTTTCAGGTGTGAATTTGTAAAACAATTTGAATGTGAAATTAGGTTTAAACTACTTTCCCTGGATAAATAAATGTTAAAAAAAGAAGGCTTACTTTGCTGTTACACATACAAGTCAAACCTGCATTAATATATTTTTGGATGCTCAACAAACTGTAAACACAACATTGATATATTACCACTGTATTAAGTTGTTATGTTAACAGAAAATTGTTAATTCAATCATGGATTAATAGGAAGCAGTCACGTTTAAGGCTACATGACCAGTGTTTATTCTTGTTTGAACTCTGTTTTGGTTTCCACCAACTCCTGAAGGAAATAATAAGGCGATTTAGCTGTTAAATACTCCACTATGTTCACCAGCTAGTTGCTAGTTGCTGTTGTCTGTCTACTGTTTGGTGCTGGACAGATAGCTTTTTTTTTTTTTTTTCGTTTAAAGCAGCTGTCTGCTGCTGGAAACGACACAGATGCTGAGAATGTTGAGACTAAACTGAAACAGTATAGTTATGGGCCATAAAACCAAAATAATCAGCTGAAAGACGCTTAAACGCTTTATATAGGAAAAAGTCTACAGAGTTACTTAGTCACTCATAATGATGAACCCACAGTCATCTAAGCTGTTGTTACTATAAAAATCTTGATTTGTGCGGCTTTAAATGCAATTCTTGAATTTAAGTTTTCAATTTTACTGTTTGTGTATTGTCTCTATTTTAAATGTAATATTTTCCTCTCTTCTTCATTTCCTCAGATCTCTAGCTGGTCCCCCTCCGATGCTTGTGATCCAAACCCTTGTGAGAATGAGGCAAAGTGCCACAGCATGGACCAGGACTTCTACTGTGCATGTCCTGAAGGCTACGAGGGAAAGACGTGTGAACGGCTCAAGGAGAGCTGCCAGACCACCCCGTGTCAAGGTGACTGAAGTCGTCCACAATGATAACAGTATTGAACAAACTAACATGTGAAAGAAAAGGAATGCATTTGAACTTTTTTCTCTTGCAGTCATTGACAGCTGCACTGTTGCTGTAGCAACCAATGACTCAGCTGGTGTGCGACACATCTCCTCTAACGTCTGCGGCCCACGAGGACGCTGCATCAGCCAGCCAGCGGGCAACTTCACCTGCGTGTGTGATCCAGGGTTCAGTGGCATCTACTGTCATGAAAGTACGTAGAAATTTTAACCTGTTAAAGATCATACCTATCATACCAACTGAAATTAATTTTAGTCAACCATTGAAAATAGTTTGTTTTATAAATCGTTAAAAAAATTTTTATAATGTTGTTTTAAGCATATATAACTATTTTTAAGTGATTAATTAATGTGATAAACTAATGATATATAATTAACACGGTGTTGGCCGATATAAACACTTATAATTACACTTACAACTGCATAATCATGTGTTATATATCTTTATAAACATGTATTAAGTGTTATTTGAACCCTCCCTGTTTAGCATTTATAAAGTGTTGCCAAAAGACAAAAGTGTAGTCCTGTTGAAAGTATGTCTATCCAACCTTACTTTCAGATATTAACGACTGCATCAGCAGCCCCTGTGGAAATGGAGGGACCTGCATTGATGGAGTGAACTCCTTTCAGTGCTTCTGTCCTGATGGCTGGGAGGGTCGACTCTGCGACCTCAGTGAGTTCCTCTCTCTCCAACGTTATTCTGTAGCTTTTCAGTCAGTGCAGCGTTTTAAACAAAAAGTCATGCCTTACTTGGGTAGAGCTTTCTCCTCGCTCTGTTCTGACAGTTCTGTAAAGATCGAATCGTGTAAATCTTCCTCAGATGTCAATGAGTGCAGACACAACCCGTGTAAGAATGGTGGACGCTGCGTCGACCTGGTGAACGACTTCTACTGCGAGTGTGCCGACAGCTGGAAGGGCAAGACCTGCCATTCCCGTGAGTTATGTCAACTCTGTGTTTATGTGTGTGTTTATGTTCAGGGCTTGCTGTGGCCCCAACTCCACCGTGTTACACATCTAATGTTTTGACAACTACAATATGTTTACATGATGTCCACTCTGAGAGTATATCGGCCACACAAGAATGATCCTTTCTTGCTGATGCTGTGAATAGTTGTATGAAGATTGTGTGTGTTTTTTGGTAATCCTGGCCAGGAGAGAGCCAGTGTGATGCAACCACCTGCAGTAATGGAGGCACCTGCTACGACCACGGGGATGCCTTCCGTTGTGCCTGCCCATTGGGTTGGGGAGGGAACACGTGCAACACAGGTGAGGGTTTGGCGTCTAAGCGAGACCATCAATCATTAGTGTCCTTGAACCTTGACGCAGTTTTGCTTTCAGAGTTGCGCCCGGTTAGCTCAGTGGTTAGAGCTGGCAGGCCATGTGACGAGTCCTTGCTGCAGCGTTCGAATCCGACCTGCGTGTCATCCCCTCTCTCTCTGTCCCCATAAAGGCAATAAAAGCCCCCAAAAATAATACTTTAAAAAATAAAGAAAATAAACTCAACAAATGTCAAGAAAGAAAAAGAAACGCACCTATTTTCTGCATTTTACAGAAAAATACAACTGTACACCTTCTGAATTCAAGTTTCTCTCTTATACCGAACTTAGACCCCGTTGAGCGATCTTAAAACACTCTTCATTCAAACCCAACAAAAGAAAACTCATTAGTACTTGAATCGGATACGTAAGCTGTGTTTCAGAGGTCTGGGACGGCGCTAATTTTAGATACTAAAACTGCATTGAAAGCCAGAATAGTACAAAATATTAATGTCAAACAAACATCATGGTCCTAAGTGGGTGACATTGACTGCCATGTAGTTTCTACCTATAAGACCAAGAGTATATCAGTAACTCATTACAAGCCATTTATTACTGACAACATTCCAGGTTAAATAAGCTCAGGAAAATGACAAAGTTGTAGTTGTTTTTAATATATGTTTGTGTGTGCTAACAATCCGGTTCACCTCTGTGATATTTGACTAATGCTTTCTCTCTTCTTTCAGCCAAGAACAGCACATGCGCCTCCAGTCCATGTTCCAACGGTGGAACCTGTGTCGGAGGGGGAGACACCTTCACCTGCATCTGCAAAGAGGGCTGGGAAGGTCCCACCTGTGGCCAGAGTTAGTTTCTCTTTAGCTGTGCATATAACTGATGTTTTAACCTTTTATGGCTCACACACTCTGTTTTTGAGGTGAACAGTGTTGAACAGTTGGAATGACCTATTTAAACTCCAAAATACAACTTGGGGTGTGATATTTCAACATTGATTGGCCAGTTTCGACTACTTATGATAAATGATAAGTTGTCTTAGATTTCTTACAAGATAACTTAAAATGCCACATATACCATATGTTTTAGCAAGTCTTAGTGAAGAAATACAGAAATGTATCTGAAGTAGATCATTGCTGCTGTGCTAACAACTGAGCATACACTACCAGTATGAGGAGTTACAGGCAGCATTAATCTTGAATAATATCTATAGCTTTTATGAATGCAGTGGAAAAAAATGACATAAACGTGGCACTGTAATGACACTAAATGTCTCTTTTTGTTATTCTTTTCAACAGATATAAACGACTGCAACCCTCATCCATGGTATGTACTGCCTCACACACACACACACACACACACACACACACACACACACCCTTTCGCCCTCTTTTATCCATAACCTCCCTCATCTCCACACTTCACACAGACCTTGCAGGCTGGAGGGGTGAAGGGGCGGTAAAAGCAGTGGAAGTTGTCCTTAAATCAAGCCTCAAAGGGGAATCTCTTAGAGCAGGGGGGTGGATATTGAATAGGACAGAGAAAGGTGGGGAGAGAGGTTTTGGGAGGGGGGGGGTACAAGAGTCCCACCTACCCCACTACGCACATGGTGAATGCAGGTGGGGGGTGGAGTGGCGGGGGGGAGGGCATACGTGTCCATTCTTCCCCTGCGACCTGGGGGGGAGCTGGGCTTTGAGGAGGAATGGAAGAGAGGAATGATGAGAGGAGGGGAGGGGAGGACTGGACACAGCAATTAGCATCTGAAAGGTGGAGGCTTGTATTGATGAGTTGAATTGAGCCTTGTGACCCCCCCCCTCCCCCCACCACCAC